AAAATCAGCGAAATAAGGCGGTTGGGGGGATATTCCCCGCATAAACCACCATTTGGGGTGAATTCGGTCGTGTGAGGTCGGTCCATAATTCACCCAAAGAAATCTGCCCAAAGCTCACTTGGGCCCGGCCTGCCCAGCTGGAGGATGGAATCCCGCGTGATGCCAGGCCTTGCGATCGAGTCCACTGAGAAAACCGTGGATGGATTCTAACATTGCACTCGCAAAAATAAGAAATGTCTGAAACAGTGACTGAAACTCAGTACCCGAAGAAGAAAAAAACATGAAATCTTTGAAACAATGGTTTTCCTCCAACACAGCACCTGGAGGGTACCTGGAAGATCAGCTTCCTCTTCAACGGACCGCCGCTCAACTGCCAGGTTAGTGGGAGAAAGGGTAAGTTGTGGTGATTGACACAACAAAAAAACATCAGAATTGGAGCCAGAAAAGGGATCTCTTCCTGTTGGGTCCTTTTGCCTCCATGCGCCTCTACGTCAACGACTCCTGGGGAGTCGATTTTAAAGCGCAGGAGCGCTGCGCAGCTGGAAAATGCGCGGCTTGCGCGGGAGCCCGTTTTGGTTCGGTTCTAAAGGGAAACCAAACGAAAAGCCGAACTGGCCATTCTGGCGGGTCCGGGACCCCAAAAAAAGCGTCACTAGGGGAACGAACCGTTGGTGCAGAAAACCGGCCGAACTTGAACCCCGGGACCCCCAACTTTCCACATGCAGTGCTCCACGCTAGGCAGGGAACCATCACGTAAAACGCAAAACGCGTACCCGAATCACTCGCTTCCTGCGTGGAAGGGCCCAGAACAAGACGCCAAGCTGCTTGTTCGCCGCTAAATTGGTCCAGACCCAAAACGCTTCTCAGGTCCGAAACGGAACTCGGGAAGTGAGAAATCAGCTGGTGCATGTGGTTAAGTTCAATATTGTTTTTAGCCACTCTGCGACTGGAGCCTCTCAGATCCCCTTCTAAAAGTTTAACTTGTGGGCTCACTTCGGAAACCCAACCACTGAACCAACTAAAAAACTAAAAGGCTGAGGAACTGAACGGCCTGTCTGCTTGTGTCAGAGCCTGTCTGGTGTGTCAGCCGCTTGCACGAGGCTCAGGCAGAATCGTCCCCAGGGCCGGAGTCTTTAGCACGCCATCCTGAGGCGTTATTTTTTCGCGCTACGTGGGCAAATGTGCTGCACTTGGGTTGGGACATGCCCATGCCACACATTATCTGCATTTGTTTACAATACTGTGGATGGACGAAATCTGTTCGCACCACTTGCAAACCATGGAACACCATTGTTTGTTGGTATTTACACGGAATCATCATTCCAGGATTTGTTAGGTGGTGCAGGATCTTGGCATGTCCAAAACCTGAAATAAGGCCTCAAATAAAGGGCCTTTACCTTGGTGATATGCAGACTAAATTTAGTTGGTGGACATGAATGCCTATGGAAATGAATGATGTCCGCCAAAGGGTCCCCAAATCAAACATATACTATGGGTGCGTGTTTCTTTTTGGCCGATGACAACCACGGACATGATTGTGAGTATGTCAACACGTTTAGCGTCACGTTTCAACTTTCAAGACGATTTGTCCAGTTGAGCCTTGAGAAGGTCAACACTCCGGGCCAAGTTGGTGCAAACAACCGGACCGTGCTCGCCTTTTGAAGAGACAAATCAGACAAAAGCCATGCTGCGAACTGAGGCACAAACTCCGCTTCGCACCGGTTGGTGGCAAATCCTTCATCTATCACTGCTGCGGATCTGCGACATTTTGTGGCCAGGGGTCAAAAGCCAAATCGTACCTCCAGTGAACATCCCAACCCCGACTAAAATAGACTAACATGGGTGGCGCATCTACCCGAAAATGGTTCCATTGGTTTTGACCCACAGCCTTGTCTCGGGGTTTCAACATGCACGGCCTCTCGCCGGCGCATTCCGAGTCCTTTGTGACGCAAAAGAAGTTGCTCGCCGCGGCCTGGTCGAGCGATGGGCACTCGTGAGTGCAACGCGCTAGGCCCATCCACCCAAACGACACGGGTACCAAGGGCCAATGACCAGACATGGATATGGACTTAACTTCCGAAAGGGTGGCGTAAGCTGCCTGTTTGGGGCCCTTCCGAGTTCGCAATTAGACGGCAACCTCCGAACGGTGCATGATGAATCGTGCTCGGGGACTTCTCAATTTACGGTTGGTGAATCATACAGTATCACACAGGAATCCTGCACCACCTAGAAACCCTGGAATGATTATTCTCTTGCAAATACCAACAAATAATGGATTGAAAGTGGGCGATTCCACGGCACCAAAGAATCATTCCATTCCTCTCCCACTACTCCTTGTTTGCTTTCTGCTCCCCTGCCAAAAGTTTAACTTTTAGTGGTTTAATTCGGAAAACCCGGTCGTTTGAAAAAAAGAGGCTAAAGTCCCAACATCCAAGCAACATGCACCAAAGATTCCATTCCTCTCCCACTCCATGGAACCAGAAGGTCTTATCGGAGCCAATTAGGTCTCATGAGGCACCTCGGCATCGCTTTGACTTGCCCAGATCTGAGTGAACACTCGGTCAACACGCCTAGGGATCAACAAGAAATGCCGCCCCAAGAAAAGGGTTTTGGGGAAATAGATGGATATCCCTGGTAGATGAAGCCACCAGGTAAACCAGGAATCGCCAACATTTTTTCGACCAGAACAATTAAAAAGGACACCTATGGGATCAGACCAAACCCCATCCGAAAATTATTGGGCTCGAATCAGCTCCGTTTGGGCGCGTCTTTCTGATGGATCTGGGTTTGGGGTGCAGCAGTGAGCCGAACCTCCATAAGAAAGTGACATCTGGAAACGAATCGCCCAGCATCTAGTTCGAAGGGATACAAACTCAGTCATGTTTGTAGGGCCAGCGGCAAAGTATGAGCATTTAGTTTGCTCCTTGTATTAAGCCGAATTGGATGTTATACAAGCACGAGTTGTACATGTGCAAGCTTCCATTTGAGCCGTCCATCCATGGTAAATGGCTTGCACATCCACCAGCATCCACGGTCAAAATAACTTGGCCCCAAAGGGGACATAGGAAGGTTAGTGGGCCCCCTGGTTTTACGAGTAGCAAGTCCCCCTTGCTCCCAGCTCGAAATATTGTCTGAATTTCCTAGCCTCCTCGACGCGGCTGCCACCAGCGTCTAAGTAAAGAATATCCGAGAAGCCTGGCAAACGCGCGGCGAAAGAACGCCCCAGAGCATGGAAACAACTTCTTTTTCAACTGGGTGTTTCTCAAAATTGGGGATCCTTTTGATGCCCTTGAGAACCCTCCAAAAAAAAAAGGGTCTGCCATTCTGAGAAACCCCAGCTGTTCCTTGCCACACCCAATATTCCAGAACCATCCATCCGGATGCACGAAACAACACCTGCGCAATGGAAGCGCAAACGAGCCACCTGGGCTGGGACCATGGGATTGCTTCGCGGGATCTAAGAGATCTCCGGTGAAGGCCCAACAACTTGTCCCTGTCACCGGAATAGCATTGCACACTGGTACCAACAAAAGGCAAGCCGCCAATCCAAGCACCAATGGCCCTTGAAAGAGCTGAATCAAAAGCGGCCCTGGTCCCCTTTGTTCTTTGGTTTTAAGCCACCCCAAGAATGCCCCTCAACAAAGCCACACACGAAGAGGCCTCATTGTTTTGCCTATCATCATGTGGTAACGGAACATGGCCGCTTCTGACTTTCAAAACCTCTGGAAGCAGTTTCGTTCATGTCCGAGGATTCAACCCCCTCCCCCTGTCCCAAAAAGACACAAACGACTGGAGCAAACCAGGAGAGGAGGGGGTTGGGGTTAGGAGAAAGGGGGTTGGATCCTATCGTCCCATGCATCCCTCGGCTTTCGCCAGCTCGCCGCTCGCAATTTCGCGCCTTTGCTGGCCCATTTTGAATGTCAATCAAGCGCTTCGCCGAAGGGGTGTGGCTGTGTGTGTGTGTGTGTGGCTGTGTGAAAACCAACGCACCTCTTCTTTGTTTTAGACACTGCCTCTTTTTGGAGCGGCCTTTAGAGGACGCTAAAGGGAATCACCCATTTCCGGGTCACCCGATCTTGAGGATAAATCCAACTAGCCAACCACAAATCCAACGACTTGGTAGTCATATCCCATGGCTGGCGGTTGTGAGTCCTTGTCTAGGCCCTAAGTTCAAAACCTCGCAAACAAGGTGAATCTTGCTTCAACAAACTCCCAAGAAGTTTTCCTAGGAGCCGGATCCAACGTGCAGGATCAGATTGGCATCTGTCTGTGCAAGGTCCAATGAAACGACTCTGTGCTGATCGAGTTGTCCATTTCCCATCGATTGGGCCACGTGGAGAAACTTGCTCCATACCTCCTCTCTATACCATACTTTCAACCTGCAGGAACTCTATCTAAGAGGGACGTACAAAACAAGCTATCACTTGCCCCCCCATCACGCAAATAAATTTCACATACCAACGTAGACATGACACAAATGAATGCAAAGAACAAACCCGGGCAAAGGATTGGCTTTGAGCCCAAAAGAAAGGTGATTGGATCAACCTTTGTGACCACGTTCGCAACAGCCAAGAATCAGCCAAGGTTCCTATGGATGTTTCAACAGCCCGAATTAACTTGGCCGCCAATTCGTGTCTAAACCCAGGAAGAAGGAAGGGTCCGGTTTCGGGGTTGAACAGGAAAGGCGATGGAGGCTTGACCATAGTGGAGAACTCGCTGAAACGAGCAATGTATAACGATGCCTCCGAACAACCTGGCCCCATTCCAATTCCTAATTATCAATAGCAATGCCCCCCCGGAAATGCGGGAACCTTCAAAATGGCTGGCATCCGTTTGCCTTTCCCTCTTAAACCATCCAAACAAGCGTATGCTGTATGCTCAAACAAAGTCTGAACCGATAAAAATCATCCCTAAAATTCGATCTTTGCGTAACAGGGCGCGAGTCTCTTTCCACACCCAGCTCCAACTTCTCCGACGATTCCGACGCGAGACCAAATCACTCACTGCTTCGCCAGCGCGAAGTTCTTCACCGTGTCTATCGCTTCCGAGGGGCTCTGGCGCGCGAAAAACGCGCGAGCGCAGCGCGATCCCTTCGACATGGGCAGCAATTTCTGATCGGTAAAGGGGGGGGTCGAAATAGGGGGCCCCCTGTTTGGAGAAAGGCAAACCAAAAGGAAACCACCTGGAGGGAGACCCCCAAAATTTGAGAAACACCGAATAGAAGGGGCTCATGAAATTTCAAGCTTCCCGTTCCTTTTGATCAGCTTTTGGGGAAAGGAACAAAACATGGGTTGCTTACCCGTATTGACCTTTTGTGCACGGTATGTGCATGGGGATCCAAGTGCATCAACCAAACAAACATTTTTTAATAAATGAACCCCCCGCAAAAAAAAAAAGAAAAAAAGAAAGAAAAAAAAACACCATTTTGAGGCTTGCCCCATGGAGACAACCCCACATCAACCTGTTCGCTTGGTGAGAAACTCCTATTTAGTGTCAGACAAAAACAGGTTAAAGCCACAACAGGGTGCCGCTTGGCTTCGGGATCCGATGGTCAGGGGCCCCAAACGGCAATTCGTCGACCGCAAAGGGGAGGCCACCAAGAGATGTGCACGCTCAAAGTGACTTGGTTCTTCAAGGGGGCATGGAAAAAATGGTGTCCCCTTGGGTGCTTGCAAGAGAAAAAGGGAGTCTGCCCATGTATACCTCCCAAACAGACCATAGACTGCAAGTAATTCCGACCGAGCCTCATGATTTGCTTGGACCTTACTAAACCCTGTTAATTGACGGCCGCTTTTGATCAATACACCCCCCGCCCCGCCCAGCCTCTAACAATGAGTCTCAAACGCCCTTTCGGATGCTGGTTTGAAGGATATATTCTCGTGTGTAAAAACTACCCTGCACCTTTGCCGAATTGTTAACGCAATTTGGACCCCCCCAAAACACATCGTGGATGTCATATTGATTTCCTTACACCAAACCGACTGCCCGTCCGACGCCCGGGTCTCTGGTTGGAATTACGTTGCAGATGTTGCAGAATGGTTCGTGGCCATGGGGGGTATATAAAAAAGAATATTTTGCCACACACTCCATGTTGGTCATATTTACTAACGTTCAAATCTAGGCCTCTCAGAACAACATTCGGTATGTAGGCATAATTTGGCAACATTGGAGTGTCTGGGACTGCATAACGGCACATGGTACACAATAACAATACAAACAAGTGCTCCAGCCGTTGTGCACTAGCCCGAAAAGGAAGTTGTATACAACAAAGCCTTTTAGGCTTTGCAAACTATAGAGTCTAAACAAGTACCAAACCATGTCAATCAGTACTGGCGCGTTCCCAAGCAACACACAAACCGTGCAGGAAACAATTGCTTTGTTTCTGCCGTTCGAATCGCGGGATTTGTTTTTTTGAGATTTGACGCCCGGGCCCCGGTTTATGCGTAGCGGGGGACACATGTCAGGGGACTGAGGGCCAAAGACTACTGTGGATGGACGAAACCTATCTGGCTGTGGGTCAAAACCCTGTACCCCCCCCGGTGAACATCAAAGTAGGTGGCAAATGCACGTTCATCCACCCCAAAATAGAGCCATTGGTTATGCCCCATGGCCATTTCGCACCAGCAAAGACAGCCTGGAATGATGATTCCCCTGGTCCATCCACAGTCCGCAGTACGAACATTGCCATCTGACCATCTTCATTTAAATTGCTCGGGTCAACTTGCTTCCTTTACAGAGCGATGCATGCCGATGTTTTAGGGGGCCCATTCGGTCCAAAGGAGGCCAAACTATTTCATGGGCCGCTTCCGTAACCTCCCCCAAAAAAAACAAAAACGCACCTTTTTGATATCCCGACAAAGGGAAAGGAACACCCCGCTGGGTCACATGGGTCCTGGGGTAACATTCCATCCTGCCTCCCGGAAACCACCAGCCCGCGAAAAAAGAAGCTGCTGCTTAAAAGAGCAATTGAAAACGGTTCGGGAACCAATCCCGTTTCAGTGATGTATGGAAACCCCTTCCAAAAGGACACACGATCACAACATGAGATCTGGAGAAATGACCCAAAAAACAATTTATCGTGATGCTTTCACTCCAACGATCGGTGAGCTGGCAGGACTTTTATGTTGCGACCCCATAGGTCTCGAGGAAAAAGAATCAACTCGTCACTCGTCACCTCTCGGCGAAACCCGGAACGCCAAGAAGCCAAACAAGCAACTGGCATGAATTTGGTCCACCAGCAGGATTCAAAGACCCCCCCCAATCCCCGCCCCCTCCTTCCGTAAAATATGCTCGGGTTCTAAAACCTCGTCCGGCCTCACTTAGAGTACAGGGGCAAGGCTCAGGTCTCGGGTGTCCACATTGTCTTGCTTGCATTTCCGGAAGACTTGCAAAGAACCCATGTTGCGTGTTTCCCTCAAAGGCAGCACCCGTGCCCTTCGACCGCGAAGGCTCCAACTCCGTATTTTGCGGGGTTCCCCACTCGGACCACAGCCCCTCAGCGACTCAGACCTGGAGGAAAAAGGACAACTCCGTATTTTGCCGGATTCCCCCGACTGGGACCAACCCGCACTCAGACCTTCTTTCTTTCCTGCCCGGGCACACAAACCCCATGGGAGGCCGCACGCGACGGCCGACCGCGCCATGCGCCATGCGCCATGCGCCTTGTCCCTGAGCTGCTGCATCAGCGCCAAGGAGCTCGCCAACGTCGTGGCCCCCACCAGCGCCAGGTTCCGCGCCGTGGACACCAGCCGCGCCGCCACGTCGAAGGGGTTCCCTGCAAAACGTGGATATCATGCTGAGAAAAAAAGAAAAAGAAAGAACAACGCAACTCGTACGGGTTCCGGGGCCCAGAAGAAAGGTAATTACCTTCACTATTTTTGGTTTGGTTCTTGGTGACCAGTTCTGGGGTGTGCCTTTTGATGTAGACCTGCACTCCGTGGAGTTCCCAAAACTGGAACCTTGGCCCTTCCGCCGATATGTGTCAAGCTAAGGCAAGCTCAAAAAAGGGTACCCTCAAACAAAACACCAACGCAAGAATCCACCAACTGGGAAAAAGGCGGCATTGTCCATTTGCCCACTGAGGGAAACCATGAAATGTGAGGGTGGGAAAAAAACAACAACAACCTGTTATATATGTTTCTTGTACGGTTGCTTTCTGTTTTTGGATGTTCGGCTTGCGCTTGTTTTTGGCCGCGTTGTGGTTGGGCATGTTTTCTCTGAACAACCAGCCCCGGTCGCCTTTGCTGGGACCAGGAGGTTGTCGAAACAGTGGCGTCAACATGTTAAAGCTCAGGGCTGGACGAACCAGGTCCCCCAGAAAATGTGGCAGCCCAACCAAAGCAGATTTGCTTTGTTCGTGTATTTCTTCCTTCCTTTCTTTCTGTCCTTCCCGGGGCCCGACGCCGCGATGATTTGTCGTTCATGTTGCCTTGGATTCCCATGGCTTAAGTATGACCCCACCAAGAGAAACCCGGCCACACGTGGTCCAACAAGTGACGTTCAAACTGGCTTACAGCAAAAAAGGGAACCTGAAAAATCAAGTAAAACCTGACTCAGAGCCAAAGCTCTGTCCAGAAAAAAAAATGACCCACCAGCTTGCAAGTGCTCCCCTTGCTATTACTTGTGAAACAGCATTGAATACATTTACATATTCATTAGCAGCTGGGTGAAAGTTCAAGGCACCTTGTATGGGCAATTGGTGTAGGCCAAGGTATATTAAACAGGGGGAAGCCATGCCACTGCACATAGAGACATAGAGCAGTCAAGGGGTATGCATTGGGGAGCAAGTCGGTGCCCACTCCAGTGCTCCATATGACTTGGTTACAGAGAACACTATATTCAGTGGTCTGTCTCACATGCAAAACACAAGGCTTGACTTCACGAGCTTCGGGCTCAGAGGGAAAGGGGTGAGACGTCACGCACTGTGAAATCCAAAAACGCAATAGGCACCAAACACAAATGATGCCCAGAAAGCAACTCACGAGACAAACCTCACCTATAAGAACAGGGTGGATTCAGTGCCGTCGTTGGGTGGGTTGAAAGTTGGTTGGAGTGAGCTTTGGGTGGGTGTAGGGCTTGCTCGTCACACATCCCAAAAACAAGACCCTTGACAGAACAGCCGCCCAAGCAAAGCTTCCGGATCTATAAAGTACTGAGCAATACCAGAACACTACAAAACCGATACTAAGACTCACTAAGCCAATAGAACGCAATACTCCGCCAGCACCAAAAGCAAATACTAAGCCAGCAAAACTGGCTAAGGCCCCAAACAGCCAAATCCTACACGACACCCAATAATCTCATGGGGAATACTGATAGTGACCAAATGTTTCAGGAGAGGGAAATCAAGCAACTGTGGGGCACCAACTGCACCAGTACTGGAACTATATCAAAGCAACGAACATCCTTTAGGAAGCCAACATGAAGCGAACAGAAAGCAAGTACTAAACCAATTCTGAAACACTACTAGATCAACACGATATTAAACTCAGAATGCCGAACCAAAACTGTACTGACCGGAACACTTCTGGGGCAGGTCCCATTCTAACGCCCGGTAGCGTGCTTGGGTTCTCTCAATTGACCATTGATCTTGACCATTGATCCCAAGTTGCATGAGATCTTGTTTGTATTCACTGATCCACATTAACTTGCAGGTGGACAAAACTGCAAGCTTCCGTTTTCCTTTTATGCATGGCCCACGGCAAGGGGACAAACACATTTTTCATCCACGTAACTCAGCTTGGCTGCAAAAATGGTGACAACACACGTGTGATGCTTCAGGCAAAGGGGAACTGTGGGAACTGTGGGGCTAATTACAATCCACCAATCCCAAATCGGAGAACCTTCATAAGGAACCTATACCATGTGCGTTTGGTCGCAAGCCCTCGCTGAGGCGCATTTTTTAGGGGCCTCAATTTCCAAACATGCAAATGGAGTACATCTGCTTCGCACCAGTCGGGATGGGCTCAAAAACTATATGAATGAGGAAACCACCAATCCCAACACACCAATCCCCCGGTTTCACGGTTGGGAGGGCAATATCTTCTGGGCTGTCCTCAGATCCCTGCTAAAAGTTTAACTTTTGGTGGGTGAAATGGAAATCAACACTAAAAAGCTAAAAAGCTAAGGGGATGGGTTTTACCAAGTCTTGAGGGTGTCGCCTGCACGGGCCCAAGCGAAAAATTAGGCTCCTGGACACCTGGAGAGCCCAGAGTTCCGAAAAATCCTCCGCCTGCCGCGCCCGAGAGCGTGCTGAGGATCTGCGCCACCTTCTGCTTGGCCAAGATCCTGACGGGCGCAAAACGAGCCATGGGTGGACCCTTTTCGGGTGGGTGAACAGGGCAACCCATCGGAACACCTGTTTGTTTTGAGAGCGGCCGGCCATGGGGCCTGGAGGATTGAAAGTATCACTTTTAGGACTTGCAGCACATTTGACCTTCACAGAACAAATAAACAATGAACTAGTTGTGATGTTAAGACATGTTCCAGGATGACGTTAGGGTCTGACATGTTGTTTGAGTGTTTGTTTGTTTGTTTGTTTGTTTGTTTGTTTGTTTGTTTGTTTGTTTGTTTGGTTGTCTCGAGGCTTTTTCGGCCTTTTGGAAAAGTGCAAAGAACCTGAAGAAAACAAACAAACACAAAACGCAACATGTCAGACCCCGATGTATCTATGCTGGCCGAGTTAGGGTCTGACATCTGTTTTTTGTGTGTTTTTTTTTTTTCAAGGGGGGGTTCTCGAAGTGTTTTGGGTCTTTTGGAAAGGTGCAAAAGACCTCGGGGAAACCAAAAGAGAACAAAGGAACCACAATTGCAGGCCCCCGTCTTGAGGTAATGAGGCTGGGATCTGCTTTGCTTATCATTATGATTATTATTCTTATTATTATTGTTGTTATTCTTATTGCTTTGTGTATTTTCGAGGTTTTTCGCTGTTTTACTGCTGTGCCAAATCTCAGGCCCCACCGACCTTTCTGTTTATATTTGTGTGGTCGATCATGGATCCGTTGAACAAGCTCCAGCTCCATGATTTTTTTCGTCCAACTTGCCGCGACGGTGAGGTCCAATGGTTGCACTTAGAGCCCAGCGGCCAGGATGTGCTTTCGAATCCACTGCCGAGCTGTGGCTGAGGCCTCAAAACATGTGGCCAATCCATGACTGAGGCTATGTAGACCTCACACCACAGAGGGTTTGAGGCCAGGACTCCAATGCTTTTTTTTTCAAATATATTTTTGTTGATCTACCAAAGGGTCCGGAAAGGACTCCAATGCTTTTGTTCAAACATATTTTATATCTACCAAAGAGTCCCACGTCACACCCAACTGGAGAGCAAAGACACACACACACAGTAACTGTGCATGATGGCAATGTAAACGCTGATGAATTGCCGCACAAAGGTCTAACTTGTTGTTTTCTGCAAACATGGCCCAAACCCAAAGCGGACAGAAGTCCAGAATGAGACCACGGTGGCACTGCGCAGGTCATAATGAGACCCACGTCCCAATCATAACCTAGGTCCTCCAGTAGAGAGGTTAGAATAAGTTGGTGTCCGATTTTTTTCTGTAGTCTATTCTAGTAGGGGAACCCTCCCAACCAAAAAAGAAACGGTAAAGGGCACCTAGCTTGGGCACCTAGTAACACTGTGGATGGACGAAATCGCCACGCCAGGCACCAGCTGTTTGGCTGTTTGACAAATCACCTAGCTGGTACAGGACTTGTCCACCAGTATCCGGGCTGTTCAAAATGGCGTGTTGGCCAATCCTCTATCCATCGCTACAAAGGCAAGCCCTTGCGTTTTCCCAGGTGAGGCACTTGTGAAAAATGGGTGTTTCTCAAAATCGCGGCTTGTCGAAACAGTTGGCTTCCTTTCATTTCCCCTCAAGAATCATGGAACTCACCCAACAAAAAAACACCGTCTGCCCTATCGAGAACCCATTCCACTCCTCCAATGCGTCTATTCCCGTTTGGGAGCACGGCAAGGCTTTCCATTTTTAAAGGGTAGAAGGATGGGGCGGCCCAGCCGCCCCTATTTTCCCTCGGCGCCGTTCCCAGGGTTACACCGTGACACCGATGGATCGACTCGAGTCGACTCTCCTGGAGCTCAGCTCGGGCAGCCCGAAGTGCTCCGCCTCAACGAAGAGGTTCCGAAGCTCCAGGGCGTCCTGACGGAGCTCCGGATGGACCCGCACGAGAAAACGGCTGGGGGTTCAGGCAGGCCACCGTTGAAACGAGGCTTGGGTTTTATAACCATGAATTGAACTAGGGACTTTTGACTACCACGAAATTGACCCTTCAGGTTTTTCATCCACATTGGGTCGACCATTTTGAACCCCAGGAAAAAGGACTTTTTCCCTTTTCTTGACTGTCTGTTGTCTGATGCCCTGCTCTCAAAGTGAATAACTTTGAGTGGTTTCGTGGAAACTATCACTAAACCCGAAACGAACCACAAATCATGGACATATATCACTAAACCCTAAACGCCACAAAACCTCGACGGGGGATGGCTGGGAACCCCCAAGTTTGGAGGGTTTGTTTTCCCCCAATTTCCCCAGCTAAAAGCTCTGTACTTTGGTCTCTCAGATCGGCTCGTTCCAGTTGTTTGGGGCAGCTTCCAGGGAGGGCTTTGGAGGGCTGCGGGTATTAAAACCCGGGTATTAAGATGTAAGGAAAGGAAATACCAGGTCTTGATTGACCCAGTTCAAGGTATTAATCTGAGATCCCAGTCTAACACCTGTGATGAGTTACAATCCAGAGCCAGAACCATGCTTCAGGAAATACCCAGGCAGATATCCGCAACGATTCATGGCCGGGATCCTTGCTAACCTTCATCTACCCGGGCTTTGATTGTGACTCACCTGACCTTGTGCCATAACGCATTCGAGTTTTGTGGAAACGCGCCCGTGCCGGTTTCCTTTCGGTTTGCCCTTCAAATCAAGAGGATCCACTAACAAAGACGGACACCTGGAAACAAACAATGAAGGCCAGCAAGGAGCTGAACCGCTGTATCCTGGTGTGGTGGGTTTTGTGTGCTACCCTTTGGTGGAGTTGCTTTGAAACTAAAACCAATGCAAACGGGGGTGTCAGCCATTTCTGTGTATATATATATATATATGTAACCCTGGTTTCTGCCCAGTCTTTCATAGACATCCAGGTTTCATCAGCAGATCAGGCCCCTTCCGATGTTTTGGAAGCCAAGCGAAAACTAAGGAAATTGCAACAATCACTTCCTTCGATATCAAGAGCACGTAATTAATGGAAAAATGGGCTTGTCCTCTGGTTTGATTGAAGTTTGGTGAGTTGCCCCCTGCACCAAGGCCTCCCAAATGACTAGTCCTTGACTTTGAGCTTCCGTATCACAGAAGCTTGGCCCTCATCAGCCTGATACACATGGCTTCGATAGGGAGCCATATGGAGCCATCCACCGCGCCTTTGGTCGGGTTAGCGCACTCTCATGAACAATGATCTCCCCCAGTTTGTATTGGTCCCCAATTCGGCCTTTGGGGGTTCAAGGTTTGATAGGGCCCAAGCGGCAATCGGGAAGTTCATCTCTTGGACCCTTGCCACCGGGGTCAAAGAAATGGGTTCCTTTGGGATGCTACTGTGGATGGTTGCATCATCCATTTCGCACCACCGTTCAGAACGCCTGGTTTCTGATGACCCCCCGGTACATTCCAAGGCACAGTGATTTAAGCCATGGTGTCAATTTGGCGCGAAATGGATTTCGTCCATCCACAGTACGCACATTTCCCTTGCACAAGGAACGGAGCCCGGCAAACTTTTCATCCGCTGAGAACGCAGCGCCCCGCGCCACTCCTTGGGCAGGACCACGGTGTGTCGTCTCCGACAGTCCTTGCTTCTGAAAACAGGGATGTCCTAATTGTTTGGGGGCATTGTGGGATGTCCTTACGGGTTTCCTGATGGCTTTCCTTGTGGGTTTCCTCATGGGTTTCCTTATGGGTTTGCTTATTTTGACCTCCTTTCAAAAAGCCAGGGTCCGGTTTGAGAAACTCCCTGACAGGCCAATGAATCGCATGCTCGCCGGTGGCAAGCATAGCCTGGACAGCATGGGTTTTGGACTCGGAAAAAGCAGTCCGTTACCAGCCTGACAAACATGGAACCTGGCTCCTGGTGACGATGTTCCTAAAATTGATAGGCCGTACCTTGTCCGTGTAACGTAGCACCACTCCTTGGACGATAGACATATATATATATATGTATATATATCCTTTGGTCGGATAAAGGGAATTCTATCCAGACCGCTCGAATGCGCACCCAACAGCGGTGGCGGTTGGGATTGGTTCCCAGAACTTGCCTGGGACTTCGATCCAGAACCTGCAGGAACCTTCAGGATCCGAGAAGAAAACAAAAACACTAAGCTGGAAGGCCACTTATTGCTGATACTGGGAAGGCCACTTCTCTCTCTGCCACAGGCACCAACCAACCAAGCAGCCAACCAGCCAACCAGCCCGCCCGCCCACGCAACCACCCAACCTAAGACAACAAAACAACATCCCATCTTCAAGGAGTTGAGCTGGACAAGGGTAAGGGCTGCATGATCGGACTTGTTGGTGGGGCCACTTTGGACAAAACCGCATTGGTCAACACACACTTATGACTACACGTCATGATGCCGACCAGATTCACACTTTGTTGTTTCCCGGCGGAAGTGAGAGATTTGTTGTCATGCGTAATTACATGTCCGCACTACACACCCTCGGATGCATCTCTGAATGTGCGCACGAAGCGGGACAAGAAGGTTTGCCAGGGCGGTGGTTGGGGGCTACACCTCCTTCTAGTTCACTTGTTCAAGGGACGTCGCAGCACAATGCGCTCCGAAAGCACTCTGAGAAACAGTTATGCATTCAATCTGCTTTGCCATGAAAATAGCTTCCACCAGCCTGCGTCATGTAACAACAACCATCTATATAAAAGAACCAGCTTGATCTACAGAACACACCTGTTAAACAATACAAACTGTCTGCTTCCTCGTATGTCAAATAGACTGCAGCGGTCAGTGTCTGATCAGGGCAAACATGTAAATTGTGCTACCAAAATCAGTGCAGTGTTGTCTTGCATGCCACATTGTAAGTGTGAATCATCGGGGGAAGGGGTGTCCATGTATATGGGGGCTGGTCAATATCCCTGTAACCTTTTCCATGCACTGGAACATATCATATTTTTAGTGGATTTCCCAACGGTCATCCCATGGAAAGGACGTTTTGACCGACCACCATATCTACATATACTATAACTGTAAGATTACCCATGTATACTCGAAATATACTTATCCCTTATCTTACCTTCTCACCATCCACCTTCATTTTGCACTCCTTCCAACAGGTTTCTGGGCGGCTTCCCTTCAATAGGCTCCCACTTGTGGGCGTCGAGTCGCCAACGAGAAGCCTTGAAGTCTTTCGTTTGAGGCCTCGCAACTTTTGCGGTTTCAAAGCGAACCAACGGGCAACCACAATCTTGGGTGCTGCGTACAAAAGGACACACCGTATTTGCTATCTTGCTGAGCATGGGGTGTCTCCGATGGAAAACATGGACCCAGCACTGCGCATGAAACATGCTCCTTCAGGGACATGGTGAGGCGGCACCGCTCGGCGAAGATCTCTTTGCCTTCCGCGCGGCTCCTAGCTGTGCGTGGGTTGCAAGTTTGGAAAGCCCTAGGTTTGACACACGGAGGGTCCCTTGATAATTTAACGAATCCCCGAAGAAACCACACCCAAGGCCTTGCATCTGGGGTACTAAGGACTCTCTGGGACCCGCAATGAAGCTCCACTTGACTCGCTGCCGGTTCAATCAACCTTGCAAGACGGGCACCCTCTGAACGGAAAGGCACACACACATACATGTTGGATGCCCAATTTGCGCTCCAGATTCGTACCTGAAATTCAAAGTCCACTTGTTGGCGCGCCTCAGGTGGTTCAGGATCACTGGGAAGTGCTTGGGATCCTTGGCCGAAACACGATGCGAATCAGCGACGTTTTGTCTAGGTAAAACAATCACGTCGTCAATTGCGCGTGTTGGCTTGTTCCCTACATGCAGCGTGTAGCTGTAGGCCGCACCATTTCAATCAAGCATATATATATATATACACGTACACAGGGTCCAACTCGGGTTGTATTGAAACAGGACCCTCGAAATGGTAGCTGTCTTGATTGTTTTCCCTCTACAACCCTTGAAACTGTACCCAGCCTCAAAAAAAAACAAACCCAAATCCATGGCTTCACCTGGACTCGGAGTTGAGTCCAACCAGTCCAAGGACCTCCCCAGAATCCAAGAACTGGCCGAATGGGCCGGCGAATGGACAACTAATCTAGGTCCTTTTTTCTGTAGTCTATTTTTGTAGGGGAATCCTCCCCCAAAAAAGCGTAAAAGGGCACTACTCGGGAACCTAGTAATGGATGGACATGATGGACCAAACAAACTGTCGTGCTTTGAGCAAAACGGATCCGACATGGTCTTGCTATTCTGCGTAGTGCTTGAGCGCCACATCTGAGCAAGCTGCCCGGTCAATGAAGATGGCACCGTCATTGTACAAGTCCTGACCGTGCCAGGCATCGCTTAAACCCGGCTAGAAACTCTTGCAGACTTCTGGATGGACAAATCTTGACAACCACGGGAGCCTCGTTTTGTAGCTTCCATGTCAGCCCCCGATTGGAAACACGGCTTTTGCACCCCAAATCATAAGAATCTAACAACCACAACCAACCACAACCTTTAGCCTGACACCCAAGTTCCCCCAAGGACGACTTAAGCCGAGGGGCTCCTTTCGGGGAATCAACATAAATGACCCTCCCCTGGCCAAGTGCTGGGAAATACGTGAGACTATAAACCCACTAACAGCTGGTTAGAATTATACCCTTAGCCAAACAGAATCACTTCCCGAGTGGATTGGCCAGAAAACGCTTGAACTTGTTGTTTCGCACTAACATGATTGGTGTTCTCAACAAGTTTCAAAATGCTGGAGTTCCCGGGGAGTGAGCCCAGATTTTAACCCCCAAGGCGTGCCGGGAACGTCTCCTGGTTGTTCTCCGCCTGCTCCACGATGGCATCCAGCACTGGGCTGTGCGCCGCCGTGGACCGCAGCGTCAGGAACTTGGTGCCTAGGGGCCCCGTCCGGGAGCCCGGCAGAGCACCCGTGGGCTTGGTATGTGGGAAGTGGATGCACGAAATCCATTTCGCACCACCTAAGAAACCATGTAAAAACCATTGTTTGTTGGCATTTACCAGGGAATCATCATTCCAGGGTTTCTTCGGTGGTGCAGGATGTTGTCCATCCACGGTATGAAACCTTTCTACTGGGCTGTCCGTTTTCAGATCCCCTGCTACAAGTGAAAAGCTATGAGTGGGTCAAATAGAATTCCAACCCATAAACACTAAAAAGCTAGTAAGCTAAGGGAGTGGTGTTCAACCAATCAGCCCATGTATCAGGGACCTTTTAATCAACCCGCATATAGGGTTTCTCAACAAATGTTGGTCCCAATGGCAACGATTTCCCGCCGGGTTCCATTCTTATTACCAAAGAGGTCCGAAATCTATGTTGAGAAACTTCCAGCTGCTGCTGGCAAATAACGAGCTCACCGATTCGGGGGCGGGGTATTCCAGTATGTACGGTTCATGTATCCCAACTGTTACCGAATTGTGTCCATCCACTGTGTGGCTGTATACATAAATCATATATATATATAGTGGTTCATTTACAGAATGCACATACGCTTGCATCTCCAGTTGTCTTTGGTGTCCAAACGTGGGACAATTACACGCGACCGGACTGTGTCAACACCAGTTACTGGATATCCCTTTCGAAAGTCAACATTGGAGCAGCGGCCATAAAATTAAGACCTGGCTCTCTGGTGGGTAAGCTTGGGCGTGCGCCCGAAGTCGTCATATCGCATATTAAGCAAGTGGCTTCACTCCAAAGAGTTCGTGGGGCAATCCAAATCCACATTTCGTGGGAGATCAGGGGCAAACATAACCCTTGAGAGAACAGACTTGTTCAGACCTGAGAGTCTGAGAGCTTGGCTGTTCCAGGAGGAACTTCCAACAAATGTCCAGTTGGAAGTATAGGCAAGAGGAAACCTTTGCATAAAGCCAGCTAAAAAGAATCCCACAGCCCTCAGAATGTCCTACGATTGTTCAACCGCCCCCAAACAACGGCGACCTGCACAGTTTTCTGGGCTGTTAAAAATGGAGGGTTGGCCAAACCAAAGTCATAACCCCTATGGAGAAGCCACCACAAAGGGGACACAACCGTGGCATAACCCAAGGTACGGATTTCGGGTTACCATCAAAGGATGTCAACAACCTTGATTTTAGGTGTTACCTTAAGGATTAAGAAAGAACAACACAACCTACGCACAGATGCCCAGTCATCATGGACAGAAAAGGCATCCTTTTCTGGGTTGGCTGACTTGAATGGGGAACCCTCACCAAAAAAGGAAGAAGAAAAAAAGAAGAAAGGCACCACTAGGCAACTGGATATAAGGATTACAATATGGCTGTGGGTCAAAAATGGGTATCCATGTTGGAACCCTAGTAAATGGAACCAAGGACCAAAACCTGCGGTCCCCTGGTGCTTTGATTTTGACCCATGCGATTAGCATCTGGTCCTCCAGTAGAGAGGTGAGAATAAGGGTACCCTTTTTTCTGCACTCTATTTTAGTAGGGGAACCCTCCCCCAAAAAAGGGCAAAAGGGCACAACTGGGAGACCTAGCCATATCTGTTGACTTCGACTCGCTTTGCTCGACTGCCAGCCGGGCTGCCGCTCACCGAAAGCTTGATGACGCGATCCCCGGGGCTGTAGCGCCCCACAGCGTTGGCCGGGACCTCCAACTCGTTTGCCGGCGCCTGCGTCTGGCACAGTGAGCTGTGCTTGGGTTAAAATAGCCATCAGTGTTCACCTACCCAAGGCTCCTGGGGCTTTCAATGGAAGACCCGACCCCTCCATTAGACACCCCGGAGGTGGTTGGGGGTCTCAAAACCTGGTTGTTTGAGGGCCCAAAATCCATCGGGAGCCTCTGGGTAAGGAGTTTCATCATCCGAATTGGACCAACTAGGCTTTTCATGGGGTTGAAATTCCAGGGGTATGGCAACCAGCAATGTTCCTCAGAGAAATTGGTCCCATCTGGCTTCCCACAATCATGTTCACCTCCTCCAAATAATATGGAACCCAAAAGAGGGTCGCACCGCCAAAACAAGGTTCTTGAACAACTTGATGGCTTTGAACGTTCCATGTTGATCTGCCGAGTGCCTTTTTGTTCCCATGGAGTGGACTTGGGGGAATCTTCCCAGCAAGAGTGTAACTCTAAAGTGTTGAATATGAAGCCCAGAATACGCAGTAAATATGTTGGAAATTGAAACCCTCCCGTGCACTCCTACTGTTGGAAAGAGGGGAAGACCGAACAACAAATGGCCTAAACTTTGCATAAAACCTGCATGAAACAACAAAGAACAACTTGCCGGTGTGTGCGAGGGTCCCCTTTCTGTGATGTGGTTTCAGGTCAATCATGAAATTATTCCAGCCGTGTTACACTGGGTCCAGAGCTCGCTTTGGACACTTTGAAAGGAAGGCCCGGCTGCGAGTCCAGGTTCCCCCCGGTCAACCCAACAGTCTGCAGGTGACGTTACATGGCAAGCAACGACTTTGACTCATTACAACCAACTGTGACTCAACCCCAAGCCGAGAAAGACAGCTAGCAAATGTTGGTAATGAACAATCAGCCAGAATAAGGATGTTGAGGGATGTCAGCTACGTGCCGTTTGCTCAGGCTCGGCCCAATGTTAGCTTCGCCACAAAACTGAGCTACTAGTCTTGTAGTTCCCCACCACGACTGATTAGAAAGGTCCTGCGGATTTTGCCAGATACCTCTTATAGCAACATGGGATCACTAAATTCACAATGCACCCGTCTGGTGTTGATTGATTCGAGCCGTACCTGGTTTCCGTCAACCAAGGTCTTGTAAGTAGGAAACAAATCCGCCCTGGGGTTCTCAATGCACACACGCAACACACACACACAAACAAACAAACAAACAAACAAAAAGCAAGCAAGCAAGAAAAGCAAGCAAGCAAGCAGGCAAGGCAAGGCAAGGCAAGGCAAGGCAAGGCAAGGCAAGGCAAGGCAAGGCAAGGCAAGGCAAGGCAAGCAGGCCAGCAAGGCAAGCAAGCAAGCCAGCCACACCACACCACACCACACCACACCACACCACACCACACCACACCACACCACACCACACCA